AAAAAATTTTAAGAATATTTCACAACACAGTGTTGTAACTTGTAATAAGTTGCAATAATGGTACAGAAAATAAATTAATAATGCATTATTGTATGATTATTGACAAATAGACAATAGCAGTAGACACTAGACAGTCGTGGGATGTTAGACGTAAATACCTATATACGTACTATTTTTTTTATAGCAATAAATAATAATCAACTATATCTACAACAATAATAATATTATAGTGTTTAATATAAGTTTATGACGTATATTATGTATGAATGTGTGATAAGTGATAATTGATAAGACACGGACTAAAATAAAAAATTGCTTGGAAAAATGGAAACGTCAAGATCGGCGGAGGTCGGGGGAAGCCCACCAAAAGGTTCCGGCCATTGACATAATATAAAAACATAATATATAACATTATATTATGTCAATGGTTCCGGCGGTTCCGCCATAGATGGGTCTATGGGTTCCCCACACTGGGGACCCAATGTTTTCAGTTTTACCCGTGGTTTTATTTGGCTTCACATTTTGTCCATGTTTTATTTTCCGTGTTATACAGACAGCGTTGTAAGCTCTCGGTTCCCATGGCCCATTGTGACCCCCCCGCACTTCCATCTTGGATATACATTCGTAGCATAGACATATTAATAATATTATTAATATGTCTATGATTCGTAGCCACTCGATAAGCTGCCCGATTCCAGTCCAATAGTTCATTTGTATATTTATATCCACGAACCAGTTTTACCATTTCCGATTAAAATTTAGGTAGTTATCCCGGGGCGCTAAATTCTGAGTTCTCAAAGGGGTGCATCGCTAGCACGGATTAATATACCTAGTTTTTTTATTTTATTGGATTTGTTGAGAAATTTTATTGAAGACAACTGATAAGTGATAACCTGTATCTTTCTCACGGTATTTCTTATAATATCTTTTACATTTCTATACATATTGTATTTTCTATATAATATAATGTATTTTATTATATTGTTATAAAAAAGGGCTAAAATCTAAAATTATAATTTGTTTTATTTGATTACAAAAGTTGATTTTTTATTAGGAAATGATAAAATAAAAATGTTCTCTAAATTAGTGGAAGCATAAATGCAATAAGGAGAAAATATACATTTTTGGTTATCACTTTTACAGGGCTTGAAACCGATTGAAAAAATTTCGGTTTCAGTTTCGATTTTGTATACCGGTTTTGTTATTGGTAAATCGGGCATGTTTGTTGATTTCTATTATTATTTTTTGTCAATATATATGCAGGACTATATTTAAGGGGGGCAGTGTGGGCCATTGCCCCTCCTAGTGGACAAGCCTTGATTAAGGGGGCAAAGGGGGCATGGTCCCGGGGCCCATTGATTCTGGCGGTGCACCCGAATTGCATACCAAAAAAATAAATTGAAATTGAAATGTCCAAATTGCATGCCGTCTTTTGGAGGGGTCTGTCCAAATTGCATCCCATTTCTTGGAGGGGTTTGTCCGAAGTGCATGCCATCTCTTAGAGGGGTATGTGACACACATACTGTATGTCCGAATAAAATGACTAAAATCTAAATAACTAACTTTTCCACTGGAGGAACGGGATTTTGTTACATTATAATAAAATATATAAATATTGTAGAAGGTGACACTGTGAATAATAAATATTAAATAAAACTATTTTTACATGCTTTTCTTTAACTCGCAATGTTTCATTCATTCATTCATTTCTGTTGTCATCAAATCTTGCGAGTTCAATTTAAGTCACTTCTAAATGACCTGAATAAGAAATAACAAAAAAGAAAGTTAACTGTATAAGTAAATTCATTTTTTATGACCGTTTGAAGTTATAGACTTTGGATATTCACCCGTAAATTGACAAATTCTATAAAACAATTTCTAATTAATTGTAATTCAAAAATAATAACCGCAAATACTGGAATAATTGTTACCAAATGTTCATTAGTTTTTTTTTTTTTTATAAATAACATGTTTTTCGTCGGGTTGAAATGCTTGAAAATTGTTTGAATTCAAATTTAAATTATTCATTGCAGTGATCCTCATAACACCTAGTATATAGCAGCGCAGTACCCACTTGCTCATCTTTTTAATTTATTACCAGTTAAGTATTAACTATTATGTTTGGAATTTGGGTGAATGAGATACATTGATAGCTAATATATAATTGTCTAACTACATAGACACTAACCCAAAAACTTATTCAACCATTATAAATTATAATGTAATTTGCAAAGTACCAATATCATTGACTTAAATTATTGCGAAGTAAGAATGAAACATTCTGTTTTTGAATTGGTGACATTTAGCAAAACAAAACATGAAATGTTTAAATAGTCATGGTAATGGTTATATTAATTATTTATTGCAAATTGAATGAATAGTTACAAGGAGCTATAAACATGATTTAGTTGACTAAATAAATCATTTTTTTTGATGAAATTCTTCATTAGTCGTCGATAGCAATAAGTAAATTATTCATTCTCAACAATATTAAAAGTATCATTGTCTGAATATACTAAGCAAATAGTGGTGTATCACAATAATAAATATAATATTATACATATTATTGTGCACTTTTGAGTCTTCATAATAACTGATACATTGAATTAAAATTTTATACAGTTTATTATTAACAAAAGTTTAAAGTACGAGTTTCCAAAAAACAGATTTTTTTTGATACATTAGTAATAATTATGCTCTTCTATAATAATTAAATTACATAACACATTATCCATTTTAATATTAACATCAAAAAATGTATTTAACTTCTATAGAACTCTTTAAGTTGTGGATCAATGGGTTTCAGTATAACTTTATCCTTTAGATTAACAACCCAACCAGGTTCTAGACCATAAAATATTTGTCTTTGATCTTTCCTACTGACAAGCATGTCATAATCTGGATCATCTTCAATTTTAGGAAGTTTATATCCATATTTCTGAGCTAAAACAAAACGTTCCCAAGATATTTTTTCAGGATCAG